AAATGTAGATGGTTATAATAATATGTAACAAGTTATAAATGTAGCTCAAAAATACTTAAAATAGGTGTACTTAATTAAATACGAATATATCATTACTTTTGTGTACTTTATTAGGCGTAGGTTTCTTCTTCAGAAAAATGGTAGGTGTGTATGATTAGGTCTCAATTTTAATAAAAAAAAAATATATTTACATGTAATTTTTACTAGTAAGTACATTATGATACAAGTACGCTAAGTTAGATACACGCGAGGCATTATTGTAAGCGTAGCCGTGGGACGCCCTGTTTATACCACAGCGAGCTGGGCTTGTATTTATTTGTCAGTTAATTGAAGTAGGCTAAAAGTACGTTCTCCGAATATGACTTGGTGTTTTTGCTGTTTTTTCACTGATCGAGAGTTTCGTAAGCCACCAGGTATTTTACTCTAGATATTGGCGTCAATAGCGTTTGTGCCTCGAAAAGTATTTCCGGCGGGATTTAATTAATTTGCTCGTCTTCACTATTTGAAATTGATATTTTCGATAGAAATTGACCACACAGCAGCAACTTTGCCAATTATTTACGGAAAATGGCGCGTAAGTTTCGGTTTTCTTCGCACGCCGCACTTCCGATGAAAACGAAAAATTAAAATTTATCGACTGATATATATTTAAAGTTCATTACCTACCATACCAATAATGGTATCATGATAACATGATACCTTGCTATCGACTTCAAATATATCAGTCGGTAAACCTTATTTTGTCATTTTCAGTTTTTTGTAGTCGGTTATATTTTAATTTGAAATTATTTTATGTTTTCATTTTTAGTGTAATACGAAATACTGGTGAGAAATTTTACACCCGTAGGTCGAAAAACTGAGAGACACTGCTTGTATATTATATAGTAAAACCTTCCCTGATAAATACGCATTTATATACCGAAAACCCCATCAAAATTGGGCTAGTAGTTTTTGTGATAATCGCGGACAAACATACATATAGGTCAAACTTTTTTCCTTTTATTTGAAGTGTGTCAAAAAATTGTTAATGTAAACTAATGTTTCTAAATACGTTAGTTAAGTTAATTTGTGTTTATAAATAGAAAATTAAATGTATATTTGTTACCTTAACCCTAAAAGAATTAAATATTCGTAAAAATATTCAATGTCCTTAGACATAAACTTATGTTGATATTTTAAAAAAATAAATATAACAGCACTTTTACGGTTACATTTTTACAGCATAAGTACGGTAAAATGCCGATTATGAAACTAAAAATTGTTTAGCGAGAGTGTTTACGAGCAACTGTTTTGAAAAAATATTATTAATAATCGCGGATAAACATAGATACATATATAAGGTCAATCTGAGATCATCCTTTTTTTAAGTCTGTTAAAAATAATCAGAGACGAGACAGAGAAAAGGTACATTACAAAGATGAACATCGAATAATGTAAAACTAAGTTAAGTTTAATAGCAAGTTTATTAGTTAATTTAAATGCATTTATTCAGTAATAAAAGGGATATTTTTAAATGCACAACAAATAACTTATTACAAGTCAAATTATTTACAGCAATTACTTTTTACATCAAAATAATTATTTTACTGCAAATAAAACATTTATTGATCAAAACTAGTGCTGAAAATCATTCAAAAATATACATCTAATCTGTAGTAACAAAAACTTGTTTAATTGTACAGAAATATGAATTTCATATCAAATATACTGATTGCACAGCAAATATTATTTGCATATATTTTGCATTTGCATTGCATAGAAAATTAACCATGGCTGCGATGCAAAATACTCACACTCATAACAAAAAAACTATTTTAGCAACAGGTTTCCCATTAAACATTTTAAAAACTTGCTCAACATTGGGCCATTTTTGATGGTTATTAAAATAAAGCGAGTGTTCTTATGACCACACGACTGCAGTGAAACCTCTTTAGCTCCAATGATCTGAAAATTATAAACTTAACCTGGAGATTTGTTAATAGAAAAACAAAACAACAATCCGCGCTGGGTCCGTTATCACCCTCCAATCCGCACTAGGTATATTATCACCCACCAACGCGCGCTGCTCCGTTATCACTCACTAATCCGCACTGGGTCCGTTAACATCCACCAATCCGCGCTGGGTCCGTTATCACCTCCCATCCGCATTGGGCCCATTATCACCCACCAATCCTCGCTGAGTTTGTTATCACCCACCAATCCGCACTGGGTCCGTTATCACCCATCAATCCGCACTGGGTCCGTTATCACCCACCAATCCGCACTGGGTCCGTTATCATCCACCAATCCGCACTGGGTCCTTTATCACCCCCCGATCCGGGTTGGGTTCGTTCTCACCCACCAATCCGCATTGGGTTCAATGTCACCCACTAATCCGCGCTGGGTGCGTTTTCAATCACCAATCCGCACTGGGTCCGTTAACATCCACCAATCCGCGCTGGGTCCGTTATCACCCTCCAATCCGCATTGGGTCCATTATCACCCACCAATCCGCGCTGAGTCCGTTATCACCCACCAAGCACTATGTATTTTGTGACGGGTACTTTTCATTATTTACCGATGAGTCACCAATGACACTAATCGTAATGCGAACTCGTAACACGTTCGCCAGTTTACCCCCCAAGTCAAGCGTGTCTAAAGAAGCTTTAATTCAATAATTAGATTCTTATATTTGTTTCTTAGGTTTTCACGCACATCACTCATTAAATAAAACTAGTTTTTACGGGTTAATGCACGAAACTTTATTTATTTATTGACGTTTCGCATTCTGACGATGCAGACCTGAAAAGGCTGCGAAACGTCAATAAATAAATAAAGTTTCGTGCATTAACCCGTAAAAACTAGTTTTATTTATTAGATTCTTATGTCAATTAAAATGGTGTTTCACTTAGGTAAACTGCTGTATGAGATAAATATATGGCAGCTTTGATTAAAAAAAATGATGTAATATACACAGTCAGGTCATAAGTATTGTCACACAGTAAAAACTTTTCTTTTAGAATGCTGGCCACAAAAAAGTTTATTGAATTCGAATTTCGAATTGTTCATGAAAATAAAAATGTATACTTTTTAGAATTTTACTCATTTTTAAATATGGAGTGGACGCTTAAAGAAGGTAGTGTTGCAGTTATTGCGTTGCATCGTTGCGTTTACGCGCCAATTCAAATTTTTGACATACTGAAAATTTTGAATATAACCAAAAGATTCGTTTATCTTACCATCAAACGATACAATGAAGACTCTAGTGTAGATGACAGGTCAAGAAGTGGTCGCCCTCGGTCTGTTTGGACTCCAGCAGTGATAAAAGCTGTGAAGGCGCGAATTCAAAGAAATCCCAAACGTAAGCAGAAACTGTTGGCCCTTCAGATGGGGTTAAGCAGAACCACGGTGAAAAGGGTGTTAAATGAAGACTTAGGGCATCGGGCATATCGAAGAAAAACAGGACATCGTTTGAATGCTCGTCTAATGGACCTGAGACTGAAGAGATGTCGCGCTTTGTTGAAGCGGTACGCGGGAAAAAATATCGGGAAATTCTTTTTCCGGATGAAAAAATTTTTACCGTAGAAGAGAGCTACAACAAACAAAATGATAAGGTGTACGCACACAGTAGTGAAGAAGCGGGCAACCGTATTCCGCGTGTCCAACGAGGTCATTTTCCATCCTCGCTCATGGTATGGTTGGGAGTTTCTTATTGGGGCTTAACAGAGGTGCATTTTTGTGAGAAAGGTGTAAAAACGAATGCAGTTGTGTATCAAAATACAGTCCTGACGAACCTTGTGGAACCTGTTTCTCATACCATGTTCAATAACAGGCACTGGGTATTCCAACAAGATTCGGCTCTAGCTCATAGAGCGAAGAGCACACAAGACTGGCTTTTGCGCGTGAAATCGACTTCATCCGGCACGTAGACTGGCCCTCCTCCAGTCCAGATTTGAGTCAGTTAGATTACAATATATGGCAACACTTGGAGGAAAAGGCGTGCTCAAAGCCTCATCCCAATTTGGAGTCACTCAAGACATTCTTGATTAAGGCAGCCGCCGATATTGACATGGACCTCGTTCGTGCTGCGATAGACGACTAGCCGCGCAGATTGAAGGCCTGTAATCACGGAGGTCATTTTGAATAAACTTTATTGTCATAAGAATATATGTTTTGTTAAGTTCATTTTGGTATAAAAATGGTTACATAATGAATAAACTTGTTTCAATTATTTTATATTAAACATGTGACAGAATTTATGACCTGACTAGGTATTTGTTGTGAGGTGGTTATTATTAGCTATGCATTCTTAAAAAAGCTTTAAGTTTTAAATAAATAGCGATGCATCACGAACTTAAATTGTTACTTATATAACAATATTTTGCTGTGCAATTAGTATTTTTGCTTAAGATTGGGTTTTTTTTTCCGTTAAATACTAGTCGTAATAAAATACACTTAACAATAAATTTACATTATAAAAATCTCAACCATAGGGAAATGACTCTTGCATACACGGCAAAAACTGGTTGAAGTTTAGCATTCATGTTATTTTATGTGTTCACAGTGTAATTCTTATTTATTGTAATATTATTTTACTGTGTAAACTGGTATTTATTTCGATTGTGGCAAAATTACAATAAAACATTCGGTACGTACACATCATTCACAACTGTCAGTCTGTCTGGCTCGATGAAAACTCGTGTGCGCCGACTTTGGTGTAGTATTTGTTTCCGAATTTGATAAATTACGCCGGCGGTATCTAGTCGAGGAAACCGAGACCAATCATTCATCTATGGTTTAAGGATATATATAGACTAGAAACTACAGTGAAAATTTGGGTCGTTTTGAGCAATAAGATTAATGATCGTGTCAATGTCTTACATATACCTAATATAAAAAAGCTCAGAAGTTTTGCGCCACGTTCCCTCTCAAGCCTTTTATCAGACTTACCTTAATTGCGAATTTGCTTTTGAAAGTACATCCGGCAAATCTAATTTTTGATCGTCATTTGTTTGCTTTAGGGGCTCAATTCCGACGGGTGGAGGAGAAAAGGCGCTCCTCCCTGGTCAATCCCACCATTCGGCATCGGGCTTCGGACGCGTTCCTGGACCCACACCACGCGGCGATGCTGTTCCGGGACTCTAGGGGGGTGAGTTGCCCATCTACCTACCTACCTACCATGATATACGACTAACGATGATTGTTGAATTTCCTCTCCTCACATTGTGTACGGTCGAAAAATTACATCTAATGAAGATACATTTATACGTTAATTGCTAGGCGGAATTGATATTTGTATCTTCTTACTATTCGTACGAGTATCTATCTAGAACAAAGACCGCGTTGTTTCATCGATAGTTAAAGGACAGCGACGAAATCGGCCCTAGCATGCCCAAAAGAATGTGCTTCACTATTATTTTTTTAATTTATGCTAATAAAATTAATCATAGTAAACGGACAATCTGTTTAAAAAAATAAAAAATAAAAGTTCTGTTCATCCTAACTTGTCCTATTTGGTAATCAATAAATACAGCATTAAAAATCAAGTTTCAGTCTATAGTCACGATTTATTTTAATAGTTTAATGGCTTCGTTATTATTTTATTTTTAAATGGGTCATTTTGTTAAAAAGTTGTGCCAAGATTGTTTACCTTAATAAGTGCAATATAGGCGACCATAAATATTTATCAACATAGGAATAGAACTAGGTATCTTAGTTAATCCTTAGTTAATAGTACGTGTCACTAGTATTTATGAAAAAAATATTTCTGAAATTATATTAATATAGTCTATACTCCCATCCCATATTATATCTGTTTATTTTTATGAAAATCATAATGATAACCAGGTACATACCTTATTACTGATAGTAAAATATAGAAACAGGTAAATGGAAAGACTTTGAACATTTCATTTGAAAATGAATCCATTATTACAACAGGTAGGTATAGGTGCCAACTACCAACACTCATAAATCATATAAGCATTTATTATTTTTATTATTAATTTCATTTTATGTTCATTTAATGCATATTATTTAAGTGCTTACATAGAGGTAAACACTAAATCTATTCAGAATATATAAAGTGTACATCTTTTACGATTAAGTGTAATAATTATAACCTCAAAATCTAATACATTCTGTAGTAGGCCACGGTTCCTCAACTTGTCCGTATCTCAACAAATGCCTCATTAGAGTTTATGAATGATTCCGAACACAACTAGCATTTTCTTATTGCTGTGCGTTCTAGAGCATTCAATGTATGGGGAACGAGCAAATGTCCTTTGACTATAGTTAATACAAAGTAAATATGTAAAATTTAGACACATGGTTATTTTTATGTATAGGATTTAACTATAGTAAAATTTAACTATAGTGAAACAATGCGGCCTGAAATTATGACTAAAATGAGTTATAGTTTTAATTCTAGGTATATGTCTGACGATTATTATGATTGAAGAGATACACGGCATTACAGATTGACTGCTCGAATTAGAGCACCTTTCCGAGCAAATAACTTTCGACATACAGAACAGCACTCTGAAATAACTCGTGTTATAAGTGTTTCTGTCAGTGAGTAAGGTCTTCACCGAAAGGAAGCGAGGGCGGGCCGCTAGTATAAAATATAACTAAAAGAAGATATAGCTATATAGAGTTCTATTTTGTTATCTTTAAAAAAATTCAGGCTTTTTAAATAAGTACCTAAATCGAGTTTGAATTCTTATTCTTCTTTCGTTTCTAACGAAAAACGATCGATGAAAACTTTTGCGCAATTGAGTCCTGTTTATTTGTCACTGTCTTTGTGGATTGACAAAAACAATTCATCTAATGACCGCAACCGAATCCATTTCCGATCTTCTATTCCGTGAATATAGGAACAAGAATAGCGTTCTCCGTGGCCAAATACTGTAACGATTACCGTTACTATAATACAGACGTTTTTTTATAATGTCAATTGCTTTGTTTGTCAGTGAAAATATAAATACACCATGTAAAACAGTGCAATAATTGAAAAAAATCTAATATATAAAATTATCGTGTCACGCTGTGCGTAATTGAACTAATCCGAAACGGCTCGACCGATTTTCATGAAATTTTAATGCAAATTCAGTAGGTCTGAGAACCGGACAACATCTATTTTTCATCCTCCGAAATATGAAGGGTTTTATTTAAATTTTAAAATTTTAAGGGTTCACTCTTAACTTTTTTGTTCTGGCCATATTTTTTTGTTTTAATTTTATTATGATTTTTACTCTTTTACCACCAACCCCTATTTTTTTATTGGTGGTACGAAGTTCGTTGGGACAGCTAGTATTAACTATATAATTCTGTTTTCACTCCTGACTTGTAGACGTCTGATAGTTTTTTAAATGCTACCAATGTAGGTGATCGTTGCAGGTATATAAGTATTGATACAGAAATGCTTTGTTTACAGTTTACACTCAAGTGGGACGACCAAATGAGATCAGGATCAGGAACCGACTCTAAACTTTATGTCGTTTCACTTACAGACTGAACTGTCGATCACAAACAATCCTACAATAAAAGATCCATCTAGTATAGCAAAGTAAGACTGATACGAAGTACATTTAATACCTATATAATTGTGTTGTGCTACCCTTTTTCTTGTTTAAGCCGGTTGCAATCTAAAATGTCAAAGAATTTGCTAAATCTAAATTATTTCTTGAAGTCACGCTGCTTTCTCAGAACATAAGATAATTACTTACCCATATTAACATGGTGTCTCAGGGGTGTTTGAATAACGAGTAAATTGGATACCATAGTAATATGATGCTAATTGTGTCGTCGCCTCGCTCGGAGCAAGTGGTGTCCATAATTATCCCGCAGTCGTCTAAATTTAGTACAGTATGAGATCAAAAGAAGGACACGGCCGCGCATTCGCTAGATCGCGCTTCAAACAAGCTATTTCTTACTTTGTAGCGGACCCGCGGGAACAAACGATCTTTAACATTGTCGTCACACTTTGAGGAATAAAGTAATTTTCTTTCTGCACAATCCTTTGCTTGCAATCTTTTCGACCGAATCTCACAAGAAAATTAAGTAGGTCAGTTACGTTCACATAACGAATGATTACAATTATGTAGGTGGGTACTATAAAAAAAAAAAACTACGGTCATTAACGAGATCGGCGTAGACTATAATAAAATGTAATAGTAGACTTTTATTAGTACCTATAACATAGCTAAAGCCGTAACCGTTAAGTTGAAATGTCAAATAATAGCAAGAGGATGGAGAATAACAAACTCAAACAATAATTAAAAACCACGTTAAGTTTTCAGTCTTAATTGTATGTTAATGTATGACACATACATTGGGGCGATAGACTGATTGCTTTTCTTTTTGCCAGAATTCAATATTAAGTTTTTTTTTATCTTCCGTTACCCGTTTGTTTAGTCTGTATGTACGTTTAAAAACTGCAACTGCTGCTTATCTGCAGTTTGGCTACCGCTAAAACAGATAATATAAGTACCCATTTAAATCAACGAAAATATTTTTTGCAACACAAAATAGTCTCCTCCTATTATTATAAATGCGATGTAGGTACCGAATTTTTAATAAGTACATCTTATATTTCCAAGAGCAAAATATTTGAGCATTTATAGTTTGTGATTAATGTATTGGATGTATTGGAATATAAACTACACACTTAAGCGTTTGAAATGTTCTGTTTCCGTATAAAATAAAAAAACATGTTTTCTTTTCTAGCTGCCGGTTGCTGACCCGTTTTTGGAAAAGGTCAAACTCTCTGACTTGGGTGAGTTAAAAATAACTAAGCATATAATTAACAACAGAATTACAAATGGAAACAACTATATCTATTGCATAACAGAGAACGTGTCATTTATTCTGCACCTTGCGGCCCTGGATTAAAAACCTATTGTGTACTTAAGTTTCATTTTTTACTCTATGCTTATGCCTTTAAAGTGTGGCAATAAATACTGCTGGCAGAATGTGTCTGGCAGTATTAATTCCAAATTGTTTACAATATTCTCTACAACATACGTAAGAATCAGTTCTCAGACTGTTAATAAATTTAGTAAAATTTTTACGTGCCTGTGCCACCTGATATCTGAAAATTAGCCCACAGCACAAGTTAGCAAGTATGTATACGTTAATTGTTTAAACTAATGCTACTCGATTCGATTATCCATATTTGGTCCTAGAGAAAATAAATAAGGTCTGGTGGTTTTGGGATCTTACTCTATCATGTGTGTCACAGTTAGATAAGACACCCTTTCTCCTTGACGTTCGCCCGTCACGACACAGCGGGGCGCACACCGCGCACACGCGACTGCTGTGTACCAAGTTGTGTACCTGAAGCGAGGAGAGTAGTAGAGTAGACTCTGTGTATAAATACTATCTTTTTAACCTGTCAAAATTGGTGGGTAAAATTTAAATTCATAACCTTGGGACGGTACTGATATCTACAGTAGTCCGACTTCATACAAACTGGCTACTGTAGATATCAGTACTGTGATATTGATATTATCAATTTGATAAACAACAGCTACCGTACTGGAATATATTTATATTTACTATGATATACTCAATTAATTATTATTTGATAATACACTGGTGTTACGTGCTTTTTTGTACCTATATTGTTTAATTTGTTTAAACGGTGTACTTTTGTTTCTTTCACAATTAATAGTCACTGCATCGGTGATATATTATTTTGAATAGGTATGACGCAATAATATATAATACTTCTGTCGTCATAGTTGGAAAATGTTTCAGCATCTTATTGTGGAAAATGTACTAATTAAATCTAATTTAAAATATGGCATGCTGTTATCATGCCCTAAAAAGAATGATATAAGGAGAGACTACAGTCAATTATTTCGTTACTAGTTCGTCCATACACTCCACCCACACCATTTTCGTGAATAGTCTTTCAAATGGGAATAAAAGAAGAATCAATCATTTTATGATAACGAAGCGAATGCTGTCTAATGTAATTGAAGCAAAAACGGAAGCGGTATAATATGTTTCTTGCATACTTCGAAGGATTGGAATTGATCCGTTCTATACGGTTCAGTGCTTAGTCTCTGCGGAGATCGAGTGTCAATGAACAGTGTTCTGTTTCGAGGCCAACGAAAGCGTACAGCGCATGCTTGACGATTTTTTAGCTGGGCGAGGTTGCTGAACATGTTCCATTCACCATGGAGTTGTAAGAAATACCTGAAATCGTTAGTGAGATTTTGTCTTTTCCTGCATTGTAAACTCAGTATCTACATATACTTAGGAAGAACATGTTTATAATATTTAGAAATAAATGTATCTATTGAGTACTGTTTGAAATATTTCACTCACCATACACTTTTTATTATCATTTCTGGTTATGACCAGAATGAGATGATGAATGATAAGAAAATTTGTCCTAATCACGTCATTTATTGTGGCACATGGCGGGCATTGTTTGTAGTATGAGAACTGAAACTAATAATTTCAATTGATCATAGTCACATATACAGTACATCCATGATTATTTATAACCTACTACATACTCGTACACGTTCATGAAAAAATACTAATGAGTTATAACGTGACTCATCGGTTTGATATTTATTTAAAAACAATACTGCTCAAAAACATTCGTTGAAGAATATCATAAATAAAAATGCTGCTATTTTGATACAGAACCAAAAGAGTTTTTGTAAGCAAAGTGTGCGTTGGCTGTGGTTTCGTGTTAAATATCATAATCTGCTATCAGAGCCAGAGGCTCTTTGTAATCTTATTCTTTTATGATGTTTATACAGGGTTACTTACGTCGTATTTACAATGGCTTTGAGATGCTCGCAGACGGTTTTACGTCTGGTTCGCATAAAGTACGTTTTTTGCACAAGATTCTTTTTTTATGCTACAATTCCTATGAGGTTAATCAGAACTAAACAATTCCCCTGTAATTATGGTTATGCCCATATTCAGCTGTAATTCGCCGATAACAATATTTGCATTTGCTTTTAGACCAGAACCAAAAACCAGAACAGACGACTCGTTATTAATTACATTATAATTTTCGCAAAACATTTGAAATTAATCGCGACAGCTAATTTTATACTAATGCGGAGTCTTACACGTTTCGCGCTATAATTGGCTTTAGCCCTAGGTTTCAATTGACTTAATACCTGTACAAAAATTAGATTAGACTAAAAATATCATGTTACGTACCTTATGTTTTTATCGTCTATCTGTACATATCCATACATATAATAAAATGGTATGAAAGTCAAAACTGTACAATGAATATTTTTTTAAAAGAATACTTGGGGTGTGATCTACTATCGATACCGAAGTCAAAATTATAGTTTTTGTAATTTTGTCAGTTTGTCTGTATGTATGTCCGGGATAAATTCAAAAAGTACTGCATGGATTTACTTCAAATTTGGCACGAATATTATTAAGAAGTCGGGTCAACATAAAGGCTACATATTATCACGTTATCGCCTACGGGGAACGAACAGTGAAACTTTATTTCTAAGTAACTCCACGCGTACGAAGTCGAAGGCGGCCGCTAGTTTTTTATAAGCAGACCGCTTAACTGAGTCCTCGCGTGCGGTAAAGGGTGTGGGGGAGTATGAAAACTGGGACCGTGAGAGGTGCGGGCGACAAGCACATTCTTGTCAAAATTACAAGTTCCCGCCGCTCGCACCTCTCACGGTCCCCGTTCTCGTCCTCCCTCTCACCCTGTACCCCGCAGGCGAAGACTCAGTTAAGTGGTTTACCTATAGCCTTGTTAATACAAGTCAACCATGGCTAAAAACGTTTTAATATAAGCACATACATAAATCTCAGATTATTAAAACGATGAGAAATATTGAGTTGCAGATCTCTTTTAGTGGTTCCGTTGTTGAAGTGCTTCGGAAAATTGATCAATTATTATAACACAGACCCCTTTTTGGCACTCTCGGATTTTAAATGCTCTCAAGTAACCGTTTGTGGAAAAGTTCGAGGATTCAGAAACTGACAATTTAAGTCTATTGCTTATACCTGATATAATATTTGCCAACACCTTAGTAATATAGACATCAAATTATAAAAAGATAAATGGAAATCACCTTTGAAAATCGATGAGATAAATAAACATTCTCGACAGACTACAGAGCATCTCGTCATGCACTTTTTGGTAATATTGACGAATGGATCTAGTCTTAAATTTGTTCTCGTTTGTGTGTTATATAAAATGTATAATAATATTTACCCTCGATTGTTTTGTAAAATTATAATTTTTTATTGAATCCATATTAAAGGCTAAATTTGTACTGACACACTGATGATGACAAATTGGATGCCCATTTATGATAAAAAAATCGGAATTTTATATTCCAAGGGTTGATATTCAAATTCAATAAGTTGATTAATGTCTTCAATAGGAAAACATTGATGATCTTTTGTTATCTCCTTACTCCAAAAATAAAATAAAATAATTTGAACCCATGATAGACCAGGGCCGATAATTTTAAAAATGGTAAAAAGTGAAAATATAGTAGGATGAAACCTATTTGAAAAGGTAGAGAATATAACAAAAATGAAAGGAAAAATAAATTACGGGTGATCTGAGGTCGGGAAAGGGGAGGGCGTGAGTTTTTAAGGGTAAAAAACGGTTAATCTCGATTACCGGTAAAACTGCAAGTCCTATGAATAAAAATTAAATAGCAAAGTTGTAGGTAATAAAATGATCTACAACTTTTGTATCGACTTTATTCACATAACCTCAAAATTTATGTGAAAAATTCGAATAACCGAGTTTTTGGTTATTTATTTTAATTTTTTGCAAAAAAATTTTTTTTTCACGAAATTTAGTGAAAACATACGTTTGTATGTATGCCCCGAATATACAGTAATTTTTTAGATTTAAAATATTCATTTTTTTCACCTTATTTTGACTTAATATCGAAAAAGCACCCTAATTTTTAATCGAAAATTCTCACGTCAATATATCTGCTTTTTTAAAAAAGTTGGTGTGTTTTTTGTTTGTTGAAATCTCTGCTTTCTGATGGTATAAAAAAAATATACACAACTATGGTAAATGTTCGCAGAAACTGCAAATTAATAATGAAACAAAAAACTTCGAATTTTTCACATAAATTTGAGGGTTATGTGAAAAAAGTGTCGATACAAAAGTTGTAGATCTTTTTATTACCTACAACTTTTCCATTTAACTTTTTTTCATAGGACTTGCAGTTTTACCGGAAATCGAGATTAACCGTTTTTTACCCTTAAAAACTCACCCCCTCCTTCCCGACCTCAGATCGCCCGTAATTTATTTTTCCTTTCATTTTTTTTATATTCTCTACCTTTTCCAATGGGTTTAATCCTACTATAATTTTTTTGGTCTCAAAAATTATCGACCCTGGTCTATGAATGTGTTGACAGAAACAGATATGACAAGCTTTAGCCGCCAACGCATGTAGGCTATACTTTGTAAAGTTAACGTCAAATTCCTGTCAATAGGTTTATATTTTCTAATTTATGTTTGCGTTTATGGGTAAATTAAAGTTATAAGTAATCCAATTAGCTAATAGCTAGTGAAAATGTATCTTGGTACCTATCTTATCAATTAGTTATAAAATTTCTTTTCTTAAAGAGAAAAATATTTTCCAAAAATCTAGCAGATAAAAGTTTAATAATAAAAGATTATTTGCTACTTTTGTATTCGGAAACATTACTTTATTGAGTGATAAATAAATTATATAGTATTATTATTAATGAAAAACCTAAAATTCTATGAGAAATTATACATACTTACAAATA